AATGTATGTTGTGAAGGATGGCGAAGCAGCAAAAGCATTAGCATGTAAAAAAATTAGTCACTAATGTGTGGTTATTAGTGACCGTTAGTCGATGATTATTCGGAAATCGTGAGATGCGGTCAGGTGTGACGTAGGTTTCAGAAAAACGTTTTCTTTATCATGCCAACGTTTCGATCTTTATCGAATACATCTCCAGGGCCTGGGATTTACAAACATTGCTTAAATTTAACATATACATGTAGGATGTGGAAAAAAGTGAATTTATACAATGCAAAAAAATATTTTTTTATATTCAATCAAAGTATTTCATGTTGCATCCACAATCACCTGGGAAAACACAACAACCTAATGATATCTTGAGTACTTGGACACAAAAAACAATTTTGGATAAGGAAAAAGAGAGAATTTTCGAGAGCACATATCGGTTCTGAATATATTCTTTCTTTCAAAAAAAAAAAAAAAATATATATATATGAATTGGATTAACTCTAGGGGCGCTAGACACAGGAAACGTATGCTAAAACAACCCTCACCAAGATTGGCAAACTTTCTGCTGCAGTTACAGAGAGCTAAACTCAGATAAGTAGTACAGATAGAACTATTTACCAGTCACTGGCAGCTGAGAAAACATCTTCACAACATGGGAATATACAACGATGATCCCATTTTCCGATTATGCAATGAGGAGGAGAAAACAGCTACTCATATCATATTCGAATTCGAAGCAACAGCTCAATGGAAATTTAACCTAACATACAGAAAAACCTAGGGAATGAAATTGTAGCAACAACAGTCTGTCCTGTACTCCTTAAAAGAAGGATCGAATCGACAGACTGAACCAAGGAAATAGAAAAGTATAATAAACCAGAAGATTGCAGGGCTTGCGGAACATAAATCCTACTCTCTAGTCTCCTTACATCATTATAAAGTTCCTTATGGCGCACATCTTAATAAAGGTGATGGTGACGGAGTTGATTGGGGTGAAACCGTTCCTAACTGGGATCCTCATACCATGCCGGTTATCAATGATGTTGAGGGTACTATTTGTTTCTCTGATATGACAGATTGATCTATTATAAGTCAGACAGATGAACTAACTAAGTTTCAGAGGAATTTTTAAGATTGGAAGTTTGATAAGGAGGAATTCATCTACTTACCCGTAGGTGTGTAAAAAACGTTAAAAAGCAAATATATTATTTTGGTATCTTATTTTTATTTTATTTTATTTATTTTTTGACAGGGGCATCCGATAGCTTGATTATTTCAGCCCCGTGTTGTGTCAATGCGTAATATGTTTTATGCGTGTTTCTTAGTGACCTGTTGTTTCATAATTTGTTGAAGTCGAGAAGAGCATCCAAGAATGAGGCAGACTTAAAAACAAACCTTTTTCATTTTCTTACCTACGTTTCGACCCTTATTCTGGTCATCTTCAGGGCATAAAATGTGGGTGGTGCTATACTTGTGATGTTATATTGGCTTTGTGTGAAACTGTGTTGGTTTTGTGACACCACAACACCTTCACAAAAAACCAATATGACACCAGAAGCATAGCACCACATTTATGCCCTGAAGATGACCCGAATAAAGATCGAAACGTCGGCAAAAAAATGGTATTTTCCAAACCACCCCATTCCTGACCGCTCCTCACAACCTCAACAAAATATTTTTTATTATTGTATTATTTTTTAATCGTGCATTGTATTTTTGAACACTCTGGATCAAGGTATTTTGGTATCTTATAAAAGAAGAAGTAGTTGCTTAATGTACAATTAAAACTTTCAAAACACCAAAATCCATTGAAGATATCTTATGCTATTACTTTCACTGTGGTCACTACCCAAAAGAAAATTTCATTGTTACACACAAATCTTTCCGTTTTCTTTTTTACTTTTAGCCGGGAGACACACAGACACGTATTTCCAAGAGTTTGAGAGAATTTCATGCCGTGGAGAAGTTGGAAATTGATGTTGACACGGCACCTTTGGCAACCGAGACCCATCAAATAAATATGTTCAGCGAATCCCAGCTGTAACACTTCCTGAAATTATTTCCCATCGGTTTTCGTTAATTTCCACTCTGAAAAGGCCTGAAAAACTAAACAAATAACGACTCGAGACATCTTCTTCCCACCCTGCCTTGTAAGTCTTACTGGCTAAGAGAAATATATCATTTTTAGAACTGCAACTGCTCGGCTTAAAAGAAAAAGAGGAAAAAGGAAAAGATCGTAGCCAAATACTTTTCTTTTCCCTGTATGGGCCTGGGTTGATTAAAATACTGGCAAGGGAAATTTTCCTCGATCTTCGATCGATTTGTTTTCTTCGTTTTTCAGACAATCGTCTTAAACAATTTTTACAACTTAATAAAATACATGAACAATGAAGACTAAATATTTACTTAATGAAACTCGTGGTATTTTGCATCTGCAAACTTTTCCTAAACTGATACGCTTTTATTTTTTCAATAAAGGACAAACAACGGATTAAGCAAACCCGGAGCGAGTAAGGTGAGAATTGTGCGTTAAAAAAAGAAATTCATTAGGTAACTCTGTGACTAATACTTTTATCTTTCGACAGTCTAATTTCGTCTTCGTCAGAAATTTAGGACAGAATCGTAACAGTAACAATTATTATTAGAAAGGGTCGAACTTGTTTCCGCCCACGACAAGTTAACTTGGATTTTCAATCGGTTTTAAGAAATCTATTGAGGCGATTCTCCTCTTCAATAAACAAACCAATGAGATAAAGTCAGTCAATTCTATTAATCGTCAAATTTTTGAAGAATGTATATCTATTTCATTAAAATCGTTCTATTATTAAACAACATTAAACATGAGATAATTGGCGAAAGTTTATTGTCAAAAGTCCAAACTCATAATTAATAATTAAGTCAATAAGTCAGTTTAATTACATTTCATAAAACCAACTTAACATGCTACGATAAATGTTGGTTATGTTACATTATATTATAACGACACAACTTCAAATGAAGCTTTGAACCGTCCAACTAATATTTGTTTTGGCTGATGTCCGTGTACTTTCATTCCTTTCAATAAACTAAATTTTTCAATAAAGATAATCATAAAATTACAACATATTTTAGAGTTAAATAGTCAGAAGGCATGTTAAAATATTTATCATAGCAGATCGAATAAAAAGTATAGAAGCGAGTAAGATAAGCTCGAGAAAAAAATCCGATATCTATTTCAACTTGATACTACTCACAACTTGGTCTATGAATGTCTTTAAAGAAAAAAAAAGTGAGATAAACATTAGCGATAAACTTGACAGACTAACATGTTAAAAATGTAAATCTTACTGCCTTTTTTTATCGTATTTTATGGTACGTTTGAGCAAAATCAAAAATAAGAATGTTGAAAAAACCTTGGCAATTCATTTTTTCGCATATTTCTTCCGACATGCGATAACTATTTACTATTCAATCGGCGAATCTTCCAGCTGAACCTTCAAGAAAATACGGTTGCAAACCGTTCAATTTGTAATATTTAACTCGCATTTATGAAATTTAGTAATTAGTGCCAAATAATAGCAAGAATACGTATATAGAAAAGTATGAAAAGATTAAAAAAATCGTAATATCTCAGTCATTCAAACACAACTTGAAATATGAAGGTTTGAAGCGTTTACCATTAGGCAGAAGTCGTTAAGGTCCACCTGTTCTCCCTTTATGTTTGTGAGCATATTTGCGGGCGGACATTTATATGGCGAAATACCTGACGCATCAGAAGTAGCGAGGATGAGCGGACCAGGATCGTCATATTTGCTAAAACGATTTTTTTTTTTTTGACAAAGCGAGGCAAAAAACTGATATAAAGGCTTCAATTGTAATACGATTTTAACAAAAAGTAGTAACTTGTTACAACGAGTGGTTGAATGCAAAGGGTATAATTGCAATTAGCGAATAATTGCTTAATTGCATTCTAGATGTAACACGGTGAGTAAAAAGAGATTTGAAACGATTTCTCTTGAAATGAAACTACAAGGACTTATCCGAGAAATTTCTTTTATATTGGCAATGAAAATGGCTCTAAAAAAAATTACAGTATCAAGGTAAAGTAAACTGAAAAATATCAAAAATACTATTGTTAAATGAAACAAACCATGTGTCAAAAACGAGAATTTAAGTTTGAATAACCAAAAATTGATCTATGAATAGTGGTTAGTCAAGGATTCGTGCCTAAAAAAAAATTGAACAAATTTAAACATTAGCAATACACAAAGCGTTTTTTGGATGAATTTGAATATTTGTTCACAATTCCTTTCGTAAGAATAACTATCAGGTGAAAAGTTCGATTCATCGTTCAGGAAAAGTCAGCCTGATAGCGGCAGATAAATACTTTTCTGCCATTTCACATATCAGCCGTCCGACAGTTCCAAAAAAGAACAATTCCAGCCCAACAACACGAACTATCTATTCAAGGTTACTTCAAATTCGAGAGTAAAATATAACGGAATTTCAAAATTGTAACACGAAAGACCTCGAAAAGTTTTAACCGTGTTTGTCATATATACGAATAAAACCTGCCATTTTAGTGTTTACAGTGGGAAAAGTTTAACACATTTAAATAATTTAATAGACTAGAGTCGAAAGAGACAATGTTCTGCGGAGGATTAAACTTTTTTTTTGCTTTGTGCATAGCATATTAAGCCATATCCATTTAAGCTAATTAAATCAATTATAATTATTTTTATGGAATAAATGATAAGCAAACTCTTATGTCTGGACGTCTCATATCAATCAAGAGAAGCTATCTTTAAAAGTATATTTGAACAAAACAATGTTATTTATTATTTACTTTACTGATTAAGCAGTAAGTAAGTAGGTAAATTTGTGCCAAACATAACCATCAGGGAGGTGTTGATGGTTATAGGATTTTTTTAACATTTGAGTTAAATTTTGTAATTTCTTTTTTGTTAATAGATTGACCTCTCTTGGAAGGCTTTTTCTCTTCCAGAAAATAATTTTTGTTAAATTACACTTACGTTACTGCGGTGAAGATGAGCGGCGTGTTGACGTTCGTGGGTCCAGGGAAAGACTGTGGCCGGCGCGAGGCGGCTCTGAAGTTAGAGCATGCGCCAATCGGGGTCGGATTGTGACTATCGCCAGTCTGCACGAGGCAGGGATGCAGGAGAAATAATCCACCGGCGGTTTGACACCTGTTGATCGGGGCGGAAGAAAACTCTTCGGTTGTAAATCGGCCGTCGTGTAGAAAGAGAGCCGGTATCTGGCTTTCGGTTTGCTTCGGCCTCGTTGGACTCCCTCCACCTCTTCGGTTTCGACTGACCTGCATGAGGCCTTGGCCGTCTTTGTTTATAAACAACGGTGTTTTCCTTGATCTCCGTCTACAAATCCGTGCCGGCACAGGAAGATGCGAGTGGTTAAGGATGGTTAGGGATGTGGTCAATGCAACCCAGGCGCAAGCCCACAACGACTCTCCTATCTACCGCACCTCTAAATCTCCATCACTATCTTAACTGAACAAACCATTAATTTATTGTCCAAAATGTAGTGATAATGGTATAACACATTTAAATACTTTGTTTTTCTGAATTGTATTATTTCTCTATTGCAGCGATTCCCAAACTTTTTCTGTTTCCGGCGCCCTTAACATATCAGAATTTTTTCGCGCCGTCCCAAGCCAAAACAAACGTATATCTCAGCGTGAACATTATGATTACGACTAATTTATTTCCAATTCAGAAAAAAGTTAATATAAACTTATATCTAAACCTCGTATGATATCTACAATTGTATTTAATAAATAATCAAAACAGCTCGTTTTCTTGTGAAATTGAAAAATTTGCCTTTTGAAAAGAAAAGATAAACAATAAATTGTTGAAGCCCTGAGAAGCGTTCAAGAATGAGGTAGTTTAGAAAAACACCTTTTTCATTTTTTTGCGGACGTTTCGACCTTTATTCGGTTCATCTTCAGGGCATAAAGTGTGGCGCTATTCTTGTCATGTCATATTGGTTTTGTGTGAAAGCGTTGTTTCTAAACTACTCCATTCATGACCCTCCTCACGACTTCAACAACTCATGAAAAACTAGTCACTAAGAAACACTCACAAACAATAAAAACTTTAACAAGAATTGTTGACAGTTAATTAAGGTTTTTAGTTGAGACGAAAAAAAGTTAATGGCACGAGAGGGATTCGAACCCTCGACCTTCGGCTAGATACGCCGCTGCTCTACCACCTGAGCTATCGTGACCTCGATCCACTCGGACAGCAACATCCCATCTCAACTCCACCTTATGAGTTTTCCCTCCTTTTGCCAATTTTCAATTCAATTTCATTTGGTCAAGCGGACCACGAAAATAGTGAATTGTTGATAGTCATGAATTTAAATTAATTAACCGATTAGTTTTTTTTTGTTAATATTATAGTTATTAGAGCATGCAAAAACACATAGTATAATACGTTCATAATATTAATTAATTTATGTTTTCATGATTTTATGAGGTTTTTAATTATTTTCTATTCGTTTTAGATATTTTCTTTTGGAAGTACGAAAACTGCGCTCTGAGGAAATTCTCTTTGGAATACTATCAAACATATAAAAGCGTAAAAATGTACAAAACATATAAAAGATAAATAGTTTATTTTGGGCAATAAAAAAATATAATTGCAGTTGTCTCGTTAACATCCATATTGAGTTTGGATGGCCACCAGTTTTTAGGGTTTAGTCAAAAGGGCTTTATTTTATCGTTTTTTTATAAATATTAAAATAATAATTTGTTTTTTGTGTGGTGATTAGTGACCGTTAATCGATATTTATTTAGAAATCGTGAGATGCGGTCTGGTGTGACGTAGGTTTCTGAAAAACACTTTCTTTATCGTGCCAACGTTTCGATCTTTATTGAGATCATCTTCAGGGCTCAAAGTGTTTCTCTTCTGTGTAAAGCCGAAGAAGACAAACACTTTGAGCCCTGAAGATGTTCTCAATAAAGATCGAAACGTTGGCACGTTAAAGAAAATGTTTTTCTGAAACCTACATCACACCAGACCGCATCTCACGATTTCTAAATAAATAATATTTTTTATAGACATTTTTCAAAGTGCACAGTTTTGGAATCACTGCTCTATGGAATGAATCGTCTTGTCAGCACATATTCTGTCAAACACATAATCTTTTAGTATAATCACTAATATAAATAATTTAAACAGGTACACTATTATAATTAATTTTTAAGGGCGTTTTAATGGCTACTATCTTAAGTTAGCTATCTGAGTGCTGTAAAGCTGAGACTCCAAACATTCACTCATAGACCATTATTATTATTATTTCAGTTAAATTAAGCTACCAGCCTGTACATGTAAATAAACAAATACACTCTTTTATTCCATCTTCTTCCACCCTCTACTTTCCCTCTCTCCTTCTCTTTTATTTTACTTGTCTCTATTTTAATCTCTCACGTTTTTTCATTCTATTTTTCTCTCGACATATTTTGACATATATATTTTGCTCTCTTCATAATCGTCATATCTCTCTCTCTCTCTTTTTCTCTCTCTCACCCCTGTCTTTCGCATCCTCTCAACCTCATCTTACTGTCACTCTCACATTCTCATTTTCTCAAACCCTCTTCATTTCTTTCACACTCTTTTCTTTCCTTTTATTCACTCTCCCCATTCTTTCTCTCCCAATATCTAAGTTCACTCCCTGTCTCTTACACCTATATTTATCTCCTTTCTAAGTACCCTACCTTTCCTTCTCACTAGCTGTTTATCTCACTCTCACTTCCATACATATGTTCACTTACTCTCTTTTCCACATCAGTTATTCCCCCTTTCTTTTTCCACCCTTTCTATCTCACTCACTCTCTCTCTCTCTCTCTCTCTCTCTCTCTCTCTCTCTATCTATCTATCTATCTATCTATCTATCTATCTATCTATCTATCTATCTATCTATCTATCTATCTATCTATCTATCAATCTATCATCTATCTATCTCTCAATATCCTCGCAAATCTCTTTTCCCCATATATACCTTTTTTCCCTCTTATATCTTTATACTCTTGTTGCCTTGTTTCCTTAATATTCTTTCCTTATTTCTTTCTTTCTTTATTTTTTTAATTCGTCTGTCAAACGCTTCTCGCCGTCTACTCTGAAAGCCTGCACCAAATAAACCCCCTAAACTAGAAGCGCGACTGACGAGTCAAAAATAGCGAGGACAAACGGACAAGTATCCTCGGCGACGTTCGAACTACAGGTTCATGACCCCGAAGACCTTGACAAGATATTTTAACGATCTTGTCCTATTGTTAACACTCCATTCTTTCACTTTAATCGTTGCTCTTTCTCTCTTTATCTCTCTAATTGTCTTTTACTCTCTCGCGTATTGATTTAGCAAAATCCATTTCAAATTATTTGTTTTATAATATTATTTTTGTGACCACGCCTTCCTTCCTCTATGTATCTCGATTTCATTGTTTCTCAGTAACAGCCTCTATTATCTTAATATGTACGCCAATCAAATTACAAACTAAAGCAATTATAATATTTTCATTCCTGATTATGATAATATGATAGTAAAAAGTTTCTTTTGCTGGATTATTCTTTTATTTACTTTTTGTACTTACAAATATGCTGGGCTCTATTAAATATAGATTATTTAATTATTTTTTAGCCAATCAAATTATCAAAAACATTTTGTTAAATTAGATACTTTAAAAATTATTCAGTCATTTATGGTTAGCGTGTAAATGAAATTGACTCCAGTTTCATAACAAATCACACAGAAGATGATTTTCATGCAAATAACGAATTCATTTATGTACATGTCAGATTTCATCATCCATCATCAGCTACCCTGATGACTTCGACTATTGTTATTACATGTTTGAATATACTAATATGTAAACAGATTTAATGTTAAAACAGAAAATATATTTCTTTTGACCGCATGAGTGAAAAAAATGGCAATTATTATGGCTAATGCGTCTTATCGTTTTTAAACAGTAGAAAAATATTTCAATACAATTTTTAATTATGCTTTCATAAATAGAAAATATTGATTCGCTTGTTTAATAGGACTTTTTTTTATTAAAGAACTGCACGCACTTCTTGAATCCCTTGAAATGTACGACACACAGTTGCCTTGTCCAAATATTTTCCTTGTAAGGTCAAACAAAACGAAAATGCACCGACGGCTAAAACGAGGAGTGGCGTAACTGGATTAATAGGCGAGACCGGTTTTTTAACTTAATCCCCGCTCAGGGAGGAATCGAATAAGTTAGAACGTTTAATTAAGTCCCAGGCCAGATGTATTACTTAGGTAAAGCCTCCCCCCTGTTGTTCTCTTGTTAATGTTAGATTCTTACCTAATTACACCAGGAAGAGAAACATCGCAGGAATTCCTGCGAAACGAATCCTTTCATCTTATTGACCCAAAGTTAAAATGTTTTAAAGTGTTAAATATTTACAAAACACATAATTCATAGACATCATAGACATAGTGAGTTCTATCTGGAAAAGAACATATAGTAAACAAGGACATTTTGGCAACTGAAAGTTTATCCGTTTTATATAAATAAAACACTTAGAATGATATATTAAGCACTTTTGTGTATATATACATTAAATATCAGTCCCAAAATTAATTTAGATATTCTGATAGACAAGATTATCGCACCACTTACTTTTATTCGTTTAAAAATAAATTTTCTTTAACTTTTGCGTGATTTAATCTTCGCTAATTAAGAATTATTATTGTAAACATAATAACTATTAGTATATTTGTTTAACAGTCTTTTTCAAAAACTGTAGCATTTTGTCCATTCATCCTACTGCGCTAAAAGTTTATTTTCATTGAAAAACTGTTTGTTTATCTTTCTTTAGTTGATTTCATTAGATTTAATTTTGTTTAGCAGGGCATTTGAATGAGCACAATAGTGGTAGGGCTTTAACTTTTATAGACTCCAGTCCTGCGAATATTGTTCATTATTCGACTGTAGGCAGCGTTTTTCAGCTCTCCAAGAAAACAAGGTCATTCCGGAAGATCCGGGCGACATGAACATTCCACTCCTGTTTTTGCAAAATCACTGAAAGTCAAATCGGAAGATTCATGTGGAAAGCCCAAAATTAAAGATGAGATGATGTATCGACCTGCTTGTTGAACAACTCGAACAAAAGTATCTTCAGTGAGGTCACAACAAAAACGACAATTCCTTAAGTTTTTGCCGAGCTTTCGACGATTATATCGTCATCATCAGGGCCTATTTATTTTAGAAAATATCGCAGTTAGAACATGTTATATCATTTAAAAAAAAACAATTTTGTTTTATTGTTTTTAA